ACCCACGCAGAAAATATACATGTTCATTACAACACAGAGGTTATTAGGTTGAGGGCTTGCTGTCCATTAAGTTATTTAGTATGAGCCTGGATCAGCAATGCGCTTTATCAGCCTGTCTGTGCTGTGGCTTAGTTAGATAAAGCACCTGTTTAGTGAACATGACATCCCGGAATAAAGCACGGCAGTGCCTGATTCTTATAGAGACATCGTTAAAGTGAGGTTTGTCATTTTTGTTCCTGTCACACCTACAGTATTGGTTGAGATCAGGCACAATAAATACTTATAAAAGTTTAGAGAAAGATTATATAAGTGACTGTGATTGACTGTTCAAAATGAGGAATCAGACAGCTGCTTTTTACTTTTACATCTGTAACTTTTTGACATATCACTACAGATCTGATATGAGAGAAGTATAGGGAAAATGACAGAGGTGCTGTAGTTAGTTAAAGTGCCTGAGATTGCTGGGTTCAAAGCCGAACATTGTGTCAATCTGATTATATCGTACATAAAACACCCACCTGTTCTGTGTCTGTTTTACTTCATCATAACAAGCACATTTAAAATATTCTGGTGTTCTTTTTCAAATAAAGCAAAGCCATGAGTTCATTTTTGTAGATCCAAATAAAAAATATGGATAGACTCCAACAAAAAATGCATGAGACATCCTGTTGTTGACACCTGAAAAATACATTAAACCTAAAAGAAGGGTTAGATTGAGGTGTTGTGGCTTATGTGTTTAAAAGCGCCTGTAAGATAAAGTAGACCTACTTTATTTATATCAATGCAAACCTTTGTTAAACTAAACGTATCCCTAAACGTCAGATGAATAATGCATGTGGTCGAGCAACTAAAAGGCTATATTTTGTGTTTTTATATTTTCATCACAATCTTTTTGACACATTTGGCAATTGTCGGCCTGGGCATATTATGCCAAAATAAGGCATGTGTATCGCTAAGTAGCTTTCTACTCCCACCACCAACATCACAGGATCTTTAGCCATGAGGATGGGAGGCAGGCCTTTGTAGAGCCCGACCATTAGGTCAACACATTTGCTGAAGGAGAAGGTGTTTAGTTGGAACATCAAACTCAACTTCCTGTCCTCCTCAAAGAACATAGGGTCCTTTATTGAAGCCTCATGCAGGTAGGTTTGAATGTCTTCATACTGATTGCACAGGATGAAGGATGGGTAGGAGCTGTTGACTGAATTTTCATAACTTTGTAACAGATGGAAAGTGATTCTCATGGGCGGGACAAATACTAGAGTTATGGAAGTCCTCGTCCTTTAGGCGTTCAGGTTGTCTTTACTTATTGCCTTTTGCAGACGTGTTTCTAAGGCTGCTCCTAGAGTGAGTTCCATCTGGTCCTGACATCAAGTATGACTAGTTGTGTTAAAGGTCTGAATTAACAACCAGAGAAGAAAATTATTGCAAATACCACAGATACGAAAACAAACATCATGATCTGAATCAGGTAAATCATTACATGGCATTTGTTCCCCCCTTCATTTTCTATTTCACTAGCATTGTTATAGAATAGATTCATATCAATAAAATAATATACTTCCGTCACGGTTTAATTGATATTGAAAAGGTAACAGTACTCCGTATTTATGTTAGAGGTAGCTATGGTTGAAGAACAAACAGTACAATATGTTGCTCGCAGGTTGCAGGGATAGAAAAGCAGAGAAATAAATGCAAGGATAATGCATCATGAAAGAGTTGAAAGAGAACATTGAGGTTGTTGGCCTGATATCCAGCTAAAGGCTATGTCAGCCCTCAAGACTTGGAGCCGTGACAGACAATTGTCTTCAGCCAGGCCCTTTGGACATCCAAGAACAACTGGTCCGCAGTCCTCAGGCTAAGAACAGTGGCATATGGAGAGGGAAGGTCAACAGTGTAGGCTGGAGCAAAATATGTCTGTGACTTTAAAACAAGGAGAAGCATAACAATCATTTCTGCAGGGCAGTGCACGGAGGCATGGGCTCAATCTGTAGTCCTTGTAAGTTAACCGATAGTAGAATGCGTAGAAGCTGGAGAAGGTCAAATGATTTTGGTGTTTTAGGGCAAATAAATTGTGATAGTAATGTAATTGACTAGAAGCAAAGCTGAAAAAGCGTTTGGTTACTGTCAGTGTTGTGCTAGTTACTGAAAACCAGTAACTAGTTACTTCATTTCAAAAGTAACTCAGTTACTTTACTAGTTACGTACACCAAAAAGTACTGTGAAAAGTAACGTTTTAGTTACTTAGAAAAATGGCTCCCATTAATGCCCTTATAGCCTTCCTTTCAGTACTGTTATTGCATTGGAGAATAATACAATCTGTTGATCAACTTGACATGCCTTATATGCAATCTGGATTGCATCGATATTAGCTGGCTTTCCATTTTTGTATATTCTTTCTCCAGGTAGTTGGAAAAAGTGTTCCGTCCCATATGCCGTGTGCCGCCCGGACATGGTATCATGCTAACTAGCTCCCTGAAAGCGAGTGACTCGACTGTAGCAATAGCCTGCATGTGTTCTACAACATACCGTGCAATGGCTTTATCGACTTTTCCCTGGCTAGCAGTCCCTTGGTTAAAATCCAGCCGCTTTTGCGTAGGTGGAGGTGGAGTGGCGTTGGCTGAGTCTCTGTGGTCTTAGCTACTAGCTTAGTCCCAGCATGTTGTTTTTGCAGATGTTTTAAGAGATTTGAATTACTGGTTTGGGCAGTAGATAGGATCTTTGACCCGCCAAGACACAACTTACATTTAACTAAAACGTTCTTTTCTTTGTGCTCGACAAAAGTGAAATAGTGAGAATATCTCCAGGTGGAGAAACTAGACTTGAGCTCCGCCGCCGCCATGATAGTCTTGTTAGTAAACAACACAAACACGCCCACAGCGCGTCTCCGCATGTGACACAGGAAGTATCTAAGTACATTTACTCAAGTACAGTACTCATCTCTGTTCGCCTGGCTGTTGACTATAAAAAAAAACTAACGGAGTAACGCACCATGTAGTAACGGTAACTGAGTTACTGAATTAAAAAAGTAATGCGTTAGAGTGCTAGTTACAGCCCAAATGAACGCCGTTACAGTAACGCGTTACTTTGTTACAAAGTAACGCGTTAGTCCAAACACTGGTTACTGTCAAACATTACAATACAATGTTTAGAATGTTAATGTTACTGAAATGTTGACTGATTCTGTTTAAATATCTATTATATTTTTTGTTGAATAGCAAAAGTACAAAAGGCAGAGGTTGAAGAAGTACTCAGATCTTGTAATTAAGTCAAAGTAGAAGTAGCAGAGTGTAGTAATACTCAGCTACAAGTTAAAGTAAAATTCTACTCAAGTAAAAAGTGCAAAAGTATTGGCATCAAAATATACTTAAAGTACCGAAAGTCCAAGTATTGTTACGCAGATTGGTCCATTTCAGAATAATGTATATTATACCCAGGGCCGCCCCTGGCCAATTTGTGGCCCCACGCAAAGTTATGTGATGAGGCACTCTGTGTCGCGTACGTCGACGGTCGGACGGTTAGGGGTGCTAGTGGAGCATGCGTGTGCACTGTGAGCGCCGAAGCCTCGCAGCGGCGAAACTGCGGCGCGTTTGCGATTCAGATGAGGCTCCCTCCGCCAGGAGAGGACCCCTCTGCGAGTCTGCGTGTAGGGAGGGGCGGGCCTGATTATACCTTTTAATTATATTTATTGATGCATTAAAGTGTTATCGTAGCTGGTAAAGGTGCAGCTAGTTTTAATGACTTTGTATACTACAGGGTAGCTTGTGAATTTACTCCAGGTGTAACTAAAGTCTGATTCAAGTGTTGATAATATTTCACAATATTAATCAAAATCTGTAAAGTAACTAAAGGTATTAAATACATGTAGTGGAGTTAAAGTACATGATTTACCTCTGATTTGTAGTGGAGTAGAAGTACAAAGTATCAGAAATGCTCAAGTAAAGTACAAGTAGCCTATCAATTTTGTTTACTTAAGTACAGTACTTTAGTAAATGTACTTAGTTACCTCCCACCTCTGACAAAATGTCAGTACTAACACAAACTAATACAGGAGTTTGATAACAAAAAAGACTAGTCATGAAAAAGGGAAATAAGAAGAAAATGTGCATATGAATAATCCACCACTGCTGACTCACATTGATTCACACAGCAAGTTATTTTTTTAAGCACACTATAATATAGTTGTAAGCAGCTATCAAGACACTTTGATCGTTTGTTTATTTTGTATTTCAACTAAATGATGTTGTAGTCCCATATGAATGTAATGATAAAAAAACAATACGTAAAAGAGGGTCTGAAAAACACACACTGTTGTCAACATATATCATGAAACCATTTGTAACACAATTAACCACATTAATGATTTGACCTTTGACCAATAGAGAAAGAAGACAAAATAAAGAAAATGATAAATGTCAGAAACCCACTGTCATAAATACTCGTGTACTCATAAAGATATGTCACTTTTAATAAGTGTATCTCTAGATGATTGACAGCATGAAGATATTGCATGATTTAATTATGTTGTGTTCCCACCCAACTTTGCAAACAAATATTAAAGAAGGTCCAAATAAAGCCATATTCTTTTCCTATTTTTTGAAAAGTCATGTAAATGTGCCTTGTGTTTCATATGTGTGTCTTACGGTGGCCGGCAGGTGCAAACGCTAAACAACGGCCAAAAACACACACATAAGCAGGAAACACCTGCAAATAATGAAATGAAAAACCAACAAACCCTGAAAACACATACAACAGAAAAACGCTGCATTTACAGAAATGATGCAAGCTAAACCTACAACAGACAAACCCTGAAAACAAACGCAACAGAAAAACGCTGCAAATACAAAAACGATATGCAAAGTCAAAAGCACATACAATCGAATAACACGTTACAAAAAAAAAGACATTACAAAAAAAAAACATTCCGGAAGTGCTTCAGGCCTCTAGGGGGCGCGCTACGTGGAACAGATTGATGTATGACCAGACATAGAGAGAACGAACAAGAGGAAAGAAAGTTCATTTAAGTGGAGAAAGATATAAGAAGGTAAGTTTTGTTTTGTTTATACATAGAGCGTCATATTTACGTAGCTAGCGTTAGCGTGTTTGATCAAAGAGCTTGCAAGAGCCATTGTGCACCTAAATGTAACTCTTGACATAATATAGATATAGTATAGAACCGGGACGCCCCTCCCTACACGCAGATCATAGACTGGGTGGGGTCTCACGCCCTCACCTCGTGGATGGGACCTCAACTGAGCCGCAAATGCGATGCGGTGATAAAAAAGGAAATCAAATGTAAAAAGTTGAATTAAAATATTAAAACAGCAACACAACATTATTCCCACATTAAAAGACAGTCTGAAGAGGTGTGTTTTGAAGGTGGGGGGGTCGGTGCAGTCTCTGATGTTTAATGGGAGTGAGTTCCAGAGGGAGGGGGCAGCGATGGAGAAAGCTCTGTCCCCCCAGGTTCGGTGCTTGGTTTGTGGGGGGATAGACAGGAGGTTGGCTTCTGATGAGTTAATTGAAAGACCGTTCTTTAATACTATTATAATATTTAGGTAGCCGAAAAATATCCACTTTTTTTTACTTAACCTAGCTGTCCTACATTTTATTTCTCCACAGATGTACTGTCCATTCTGTGGTTCCAGCGTGACATCTTCGCATGGCTTTTGTGGTGTCTGTGGCAGAGACATCACATTTCTAAAAAATGTGGCTAACAAAGTCCCTGAGGAGATGCCCACCACTAGTGCGCATCTAAGTGCACAGCCTAGCACCAGTACAGGTAAATAGGTTGTTCGTTTTATTACCAAACAATAAGTATTTATAGAAAACTTGGTTTAAAAGTTCGAATTCTGTTATTATACAAATACATCTCTAAACTATGTGACTTACCTACTGTTGAATGTGTTATAAGATGTTCCTCATAAGGGATTGAGGATGAGACTCATATTGAACATAATGAAGAGTAATGAATGTTTTATTCCTGTTTTTTTGTAGCAGGAAGCTCAGCTGTAGAGTCCTTTCAGAAATATAGGGAAATAAAAAAGAGGGAGAGACCTTTTTTACAAAGGGACGGCATAACTCCAAAAATAAACAGAAATTGGTGAAGGTATGCAACGTTTTCTGTTATGAATACATCTGTCATTCAAATCTGCTCACCACACTCTCATATAATGTCCGAAAAAATGTTTTATTCATTTGCATATTATTGTCTTTTTGCAGATTTCTGTTGGAGTAATGAGGAGGATGGATGGCTGCCTTAAACCTTTGAGAGGGAGGTCACTTCCCCTTAATGTCGAACCTCAATGGGCAACTGTTGGCTGCTGCCATAAAAAAGCAGAAAGCCTTTAACCAGGACTTGGAAGATGGTGCCCATGTCTTGTTGTACCCTGATGCGAGGGTGATAACAAATATCCCCGGAACGGACACCCCTTTCACAGTACAGATGTACAAAGAGGCCATTGGAAAGCCCTACCAACGAATTACGTTGTACATCTGTACTCTTGAAGCCGTTGAAAACAGTTGTAAGTGCTTCTGACATATATTCCCCCTTGTTTAAAGCACTAAACTGTATAATAGTTCAAATGTAAACATAACAGTTGTTCTGTCTATATTTCTTAACACAATTCATTCCACCCATCATTCCTTTCTCTTCGTGGTTGAACTTATGACGTCAAATGGTCTTTTATGAATAGTGGCAGAAGAAATGGAATTTAAGTATCAACAAAAGCTTCCAAACTTTCCTTCTGTTCAAACTGTTATAAATTCCCTCTTAAGGATTGTAATTCTAAATTAACCTTTTTTCTCACAACAATGTTGGTTTGTTGTGCCCTAAATCCTAATGTGAGAGTGAAAAAGACGGTCAACAATATAATGTACATTTCACAAACATTTTGTGTTTCGATTGAATCCTTTCTGATTGATGTCAATCCAATAATTCAGGATTCAAACCAACATTTGATGATAGGTACAGACGTAGGGGAACAATTATTTGTATAGTATTAATCATGACACTTTTATTTTCTTAGGTTACACTGGAACAACCTCTTCAAGTGACGAGGACAGTGTGGTTTTTGCAAAGTTGCCATCTGGAGACAGTCTTGCTGACACCGTGGTCAGTTTGGATCTATCGTGGCATTTATTCTTAATTAAAGTGAATTTATTTTATTTCAGTCAGTCATTTGTGTGTTGTATGCAGGTGTGGGACTTTCCAAATGAACAGAGCACTCCCAGAATGGACAACAGTTTGCCAGGGTCAAATAAAACATTGTCAACATGTTATTTTGTGCCACAAGAAGCAGAATGTTTTAACAGTACAGTAGTTTGAATATATTTTTTGTTTACCTTTATCAGACCTCTCAGGCACCCACAACCAGCGTCTGATCGGGTAAGACTAATTACAAATGTAATTATACCATGTAGATTTGAATTTGTGAACATGAAATCAATAAATACCTTTGTGTGCTAATGACACTGTCATTAGATCAACTGCATCATTATTTATTGGGTAAAAGTAGGATGGAGAACCAACCCCATTCCAGGAAGAGGTCCAGTCTGCCCCGGGTCAGAACACCTTCTATAGGTAAACGATGTTGACAGTTGCATCGTGACACAGTTGTTTGGTGTGTATTTTTATTTGTACATTTGGTTGTTTGCATAGCCTCCAATCACAGTGGGTAATATTGCCAGGAAGCAAAACAATTATACTTTCATACATTTCCAAAGGACACCCACAACATCTTAGTGAAGACGATACAAAAAACACCCACAAATATTTGTCAAAGGTCAGATATTGTTTGTTGCATCCATTTCAAATGTTTACAAGGATTGTGCAGGAGTATGACAAAGTGCTGTTGTCAGTTTAGAACCCAATGTATTAAAAAAACCAGGAAGAGGATCGACATCCTTTTGCAAATATGACTGTCATGCATATATTATGTATTTGAAAGTCATTATTCAACTGTCTTCTCACTGCAGCAACTACACAACTGTGTATGCACTTATCATTATTGACAGCCAGTCTGAGCCAGAAGAGGAAACGGAGCAAACTGCAGAGGAAATGTATTAAATGTTACTTTTATCACTTGATTTTTTTATTCTATACTGTAAATCTTATTATAGCTTCATCATTTAATATTACAATACATCACTTTGTCTTTCCCAGCACAGAATACCTGACTGCGCCAGACATTGTTGCAGAACTCTCTGCAAAAATTAAAAATACCTCTTGCAGCAGGTTCAATATTAATAGAGCCAATGTGTGGGATGGAGCAATCCGCGGCTTCAAAGGGGCCTCATTCGACCCCTCTCATCAGATGCAGGTTAAGTTTACTGATGATGAGGGACAAACTGAGGATGGAGTGGACACTGGTGGTCCCAAGCGTGAGTTCCTGACCCTCCTAATGGAATGCCTGAGAATGAGAAGAATATTTGATGGTCCACAGGACAGGAAATTCCTCAAGTTCGACAATGCAGGTAATGATGTTCGCAAATCTGTCTTATGTTCAATACTGTACTGTAAATATAGGAGCTGCTTATGGATTTTGCAGCTTGATTTACGTGACAATTACATTATCTTATACTGTATATCTTTATGATAACGTGGCAACTGTTGGTTAACGTGATAATAATTTAACAAAAAATATCAACAGCTGCAAAAGATGACGAATACTTTCATGCTGGGAGGATGATTGCAACTTCTATAGTTCAAAAACACAAGGAGAAAAAGAAGAAAACATCATGTCATGGCTCACTGTCTCAAAATCTGATTCTAAATGTATAATGTTCTTTATAAAGATATAACTAATACACAATTATGAATGTATAATATAAGCTGTTTTGTGTATTTAATCATGCATTGGTCTACAATTTAATGATGGCTTCTACATATTTCACATAAACAGACAATGAAAAAATGTGTCCTTCATGCTGATAACTAGTGTATGCATCTGCCAATTAGCATTCTAAACAGAGCAGTGTGTTGAATTCTTATTTCTTGCATTTGAAACAGATACAATACAAAAAGTGAACTTACTGTTGTGTTCAACTTCTGCCAAAAACTGTACATGTTTGCCACAGGAGCCACAGAGCACTTGAACTGTCCCCAGATGTTGGCCACAGAAAGGACAAAACATGGCAGCCTGAAAAGACATACATTGATGTAGTAAATCCATGTAATCAAGTCAATCAAAAACACATAGTCTAAATAGTGGTTAGCTAAATAAATAGATACATCATGTTCACCGTTGAATCTGTGATTTGTCTCTCTCTCTCCTTGAATGTCTAATGCACACTACTATCCTGTCATTACTTTGTCCCTCTTCACATTTTGTCACTTTCTCTCTCTCTTTCTCTCTCAATTCAATTCAATAGCTTTATTAGCATGACCATAGTTACAGGCAATTGCTAAAGCTCTGTATAGTTGCAACATCTATACACAAATACATAAATATAAACAAACTGCTAAGAATTCAAATGTCCTTTTTCCGCGGTACTCACTATGGCCCGTGTTATTTGCCTGCACTTGATTTGTCATCTCTTTACAATGTTCTTCCCTCACTTTATCTTCTCTTCACGTGAAGCTCTCCTCCCTCAGCTGGTGTAGTAGTTAGGCACGCTAACGCTAGCTATATAAATATGACGCTCTATGTATAAAAAAACAAAACTTACCTTCTTATATCTTTCTCCACTTAAATGAACTTTCTTTCCTCTTGTTCGTTCTCTCTATGTCTGGTCATACATCGATCTGTTCCACGTAGCGCGTCCCCTAGAGGCCTGAAGCACTTCCGGAATGTTTTTTTTTTGTAATGTCTTTTTTTTTTGTAATGTGTTTTTCGGTTGTATGTGCTTTTGACTTTGCATATCGTTTTTGTATTTGCAGCGTTTTTCTGTTGCGTTTGTTTTCGGGTTTGTGTGTTGTAGGTTTAGCTTGCATCATTTCTGTAAATGCAGCGTTTTTCTGTTGTATGTGTTTTCAGGGTTTGTTGGTTTTTCATTTCATTATTTGCAGGTGTTTCCTGCTTATGTGTGTGTTTTTGGCCGTTGTTTAGCGTTTGCACCTGCCGGCCACCGTAGTGTCTACTGTATAGTCTATTCTTTATATGTTTACAATTTATCTTAGGTTTTGACATCCTTATTGTCGCTACTGGAATTGTATTATGTAAGTCATTTATTGACACCAAACATTCCATATAATGAGGTTTTTCTTCTTTTTATTTTTTTCAGTCAAAATGTTTTTTGGCAAGATTCTTTCATATCTCAATGTATGGTTTTTTTGACAGAGGATAATGGAAAAGCTTTTTGAGGAAAAAACTGTTTCTAGAATGATGCATTTTTAGATAAGAGTGTATACAAATAATGACTTGATGTGAACAAACCAATCACAAGTGGCTTCAAAACGAATGTAAATGTGTTTGAAAACCTAGGTAGTTTGACATCTTGGTAAATATATAGCCGTCATCGACCCATGAAGTATGAATTGCTCCTTACACGATGATTACCATATATGCATGTTACTAGCACTTACTGATTTGTATTGCAATACAATGGCATTCCAATTTAACTCTGGTCAACAATTTCTATAAAAAAACAAAAACTTATAGTGTACAAAGAAAATATTGGAAAACAGATCATTTAATTACCACAATATGACATAGGTTTGATGGGTTTTTACCCTTAACAAAACACCCCGCATGTCTGACCTGCAGTGAGACTCTCTGTGGTGACTGTGAGCTGGGGGGGGACGGTTGGTAATAATTGCATCCATCTATCAAACCTCAGGTCAGTGTCACCATCTCAAATGACAACATCCTATGGTGCAGCTGCTGACTAGGGCATTGTCAGCAGTGTTATCATGCTGTATTCTTGGACCACTGTGTTGGAAATTGGCAACGGGAAAGACCCGGAAAGAAGGAGGCCACCAGCAGTGGTCTGGAATTTGACCCAAAGCTATCACAAAGCTCGAAACTGCAGGATAGCAGCCATAGGGTTAAAGATAAGTACATTTATACCGAGGGTAATAAGGCATTCAGATAATAAGACAGAAAAGTAGCATAGGGTATAACACATTTTTAAATGGTGTTACAAAATAAATGAGAAAACATAAACCTGGAGCGGATTTCATATATTCAGGTCATAAAATGCTAAAACTGCCCTGAAGCCGGAGGTTGATATGTGATTAAAATGACGAACTGTTCCTTAGCAAAGATGCAAAACATACTGTAGTGACTACCAGATGTGTTGTGTGGTATTAATATAATTCAGAAAAAGGACATGATGAGAACTGAAAACATGACAGTCATAAAATACTTGTTGACACTGGGACACAGCCTCCAGTAATAAAGCAGGGCTTACACCACATTGCCTTCAATGGAGCATGTTTCTTAAGCTAAATTACCATTCAATCATCCCAAATCAATTAACATGCAGCGAGGTTGGACAGACCTATGCATGTATTACAACAAATGTGACCTGCTCCATCGAAATCAGTCGCATTGACCCGAAGACACATTTTGAGTTGTATACACTGTTGGAAAGAGGATATTCCTAGCTTTCTAATGATATCAGGATTGTTTTTGTACTCCAAATATTAAGCGAAATATGTCACATTATATAATGATGTCATCATTTTGAGAAAAAGGCCAAAGTTTTCTCTTCTCTGGAATCCATCGATCTGATTGATTATTAGCGGAGCAAATTATCAAAATACTACGGAGGGAATTGATTGATTGATTGAAAAGTGTATTAACAGCTTGTATATTGGGTACAGTACAGCTCAAAACATACAATTGTTAAGGGGATGCAGACCAGAGAAAGACTTTCGTCTTGTTTACATCAGGGTCCCCCATTTCCAATTCATATCATTTAAGACATATAAGACATATTTGACATACAGATGGCTTATTTAAAATTTACATACAGGTGGTTTTTTACATACAGATTGCTTATTTACCATTTTCATTTTAGATTTCGTTCTAATACATCCTAACCGGACATTTAAGACATACCAAGTCTACAGATATACAGTTAGTAACAGAGTCTAAAATGCAAGTATATACATAGATGGGGGGGGAAGCTGTCCATTGTACGACAGGTTGATATTTGTACCATTACCGGGGCCAGTTTTGCAATGCTCTCCCCCGAAGGTGCTCTTTAAGAGAGGTTTTGAAGGTAAGTATAGTTTTACTTTCCTTTACAGTTGTGGGAAGAGCGTTCCACCTTGATGTGGCATAATTGCGAAACGTGTATTCCCCCTTTTTTGTGCCAAATCTGGGTTTCACATGATTTGTGGAGCTCCCTCTGGTGTTATGATCATGGTATTCCTTGACCTTTGGGAAGAATTTTTACATGTACATGGGTACCATAGAGGTGTAGTGGATCTTGTAGACCAGGCCCATTGCAAGTAGCTGTACTCTGTCGTCTACTCTAAGCCATCCTAGGTTGTCAAAGTGGGCAGAGGTGAGGTGGGTTCTAGATGAAAGGTCAAGCAGTAGTCTGACCAGTTTATTTTGCGATGTTTGAAGTTTTATTTTTAGCACCTTGGAGGTGCTATGGTACCATGACGTGCAAGCATAGTCATAGTACCCTTGAATGAGTGCTCCTGCCAGAGTTTTCAGGGTGTTTTTGTTTACCAGAGAGAAGATATTTTCGTTTGGAGGGGAAGCTCGCGAGTGTGTGTGGATACGTGTGTGTGTTTGTGTAATTTTGCATTTGTGTGTATTGTGTTTGTTTCCCGGGGAAAACACTCACGAGAAACACCGGCTGTTGTTATGCCTGCAGTGACGTTAAGTTACTCCGTTCTCCGCTTGTAATTATGCCGTTACAAGCTTCAAAGTTGTATTTATCATCTGAATTTGCCGAAACAAGTTTAATATTCTGAAAGCCAAGACTTTGTTTAATTGAAATCAGATAAAAACAAACTGTAACGGACCCTGCCGTGTTATCTATGATTACTATACTCTTACATTCATAATGTCAGCCGGAGGGAGGGGGGGCGGCGCTGCGGAAGAGCAGATTGCGAGTCCCTTTACAAGCTTCAAAAATGTATTTATCGTGTGATTTTGGAAATAAAAGTTTCATATTATGAAAGCCAAGACTTTTTTTGTTTAAAATCAAACAAAACACCCGAACCCCGAAAAAAAAGTTTTTTACGTAAATCCACGTTTATTTTGAAATGAGCCGTTGCGACTTCCGACTGATTTCGATAGAGCGGGTCACAAATATCCTCTTCTTTCTCTCTGGCCAACTCTACACGCATGAGCAATCTTAAAATCCTTAATTTAGATGAGCAGAGAATGTGCTAAGCATTGAGGGCACCATTTGAGTTCAGTGATTCCATGTTCTGTCCTTTAACCTTGTTGGACAAACCTGACCAAACCTTTGTATTTCCAGTTAAGACTGTAGCCTCTATAACCCGCTATGTTTGCTATTTGTCCTGAAGCTTTTTAGACCTTTTTCACATGCATAAGCAAACATTTTTGTACTGTATTAAGGACACCTGGTCTATACACCTCGGTAAGACACAGAACCTAGAGACCGTCTTGCATGGGATCATATAGCCATGATGATAAATCTGGCCAGGGGTGTAAATGTGTCCTTCATTCTGATCTCAACAACAGAACAGACCCTGGAACGGTTGCTATGCTATTGCGGGGATAACACCAAATATAAACCTGGAAAAGTTGTCTCCAATAGTAAATTGTGTCAATATCAGTGTTTCTTCAGCAGCTTATTAAACCTGAAAAGTTTGGCTTAAAACTCTAAAACCAATATATTAACATAAATTCTGTTCATGTGTTTATAGTAAATAACAGATTATAAAATGATTGAACCTCAAAACATTGTTAATTTCTTACTATTGTTTGTAGAAGTACTGTACTATGTCTTCTGATGTTATCACTCACAGGCCACAGAGGGTCATTACAAGAGGGTTTGTGTCTCAGAAGCCATGTAAAGCTCCAATGCTAACTTCCTGTGTATACCATAGAAATTATGAGAAAATACATAGCTAATACAAATATGAAAGTTAAATTGTCTTTGCTCAACAATCAATGATCATAACCACTGCTGTGGAGCCCCCAGCAGATCCCCGGCCCAGCTTGTAATGGCTATTTTATAGATTTGACTGCGAGCAAGGGACAACAA